CCACAGGCACCTTTCAACACACAGTCTGCACACAGCACTAACTAAGATTTTTCTCATAGAGTACAATGAATTTTATTGCTAAGGTCGATAAAATATCTTGTACATCTGTATTGCAGTCATATGTCAACCAATCTTGTAGAAAAAATTTGATAAAGCTTCATTGGTATTTTCTTGTTTAATTTAGTAACCATATCTGTATAATTTGGATGTCTCTTTCGTTTGTGTTATTACAGGAAAGAAATTCAAATTCATAACAAGCAGCGAGCCATGGCGGCTTTGTCGTTCTAGTTTTACAACCACATCGGGTCAGTTCAAGCAAACTGTCTGGTGCAGGTGGCTGATCTCCCCAGACAGTTTCCAGATTTGTATCAACAACCTGCCACCCATGGCCGTCAGGACTGGGAACATGAACAGTGTGCTCAAAACATCTGTGTTGAATGGCAGCCGGGTACTTAGCCTGCAACACATGATGCTTTAAGGAATCTTGTGTGGGTGGCATGCAAGATTCAGCCTTTGTTGCCATCAAAAACATGTTATACCTTGCTTCATTTACTGAAGAGCAATCTTGGCTGTACATTGCACAGATGGATTTCTCAACAACGTCAAAGTTATTGTCGGTTAGGGAGAAAACTGCCCCTGCCTGCTCAAAAGCAGACTGGTACTCGACACTGGCCATCATCAACTTGATAGCCTTGTTCTTTCCCTTTCCATAGAATGCCCATACAGAATCCCAACCTGTGAAGCAGTGAACACCTGTCAAAAGCATCAGCAACCTGCTCTCCAACATGAGAGCAGTACGTTTGTTCCCTCGTCCAATGTGAAGAAGCAACGTCGCGCCAATTTTATCAGCTTTTGATACACCAGTGACAGAGACCTCATTGTCTAGACTCTTCACCGCTGTATGTTATACTGGCTGAGATGAGATCAAACGATATGTGTCAATCCCCAAGTGAATAATATGACTGTGCATCCCTCTGGCCGTAGTTACAAGTTGCCTCAACAGTTGATCAGCCAGCAAACCAAAGGTGGTAGGCACACTTCTCTGGGGAAGCTCCTGTCGCATGGCCATCCTATCTACTATCTGTACACTGCCATTTGGGACATTATCCATGGCTCCACAAGGGACTCGACAGACTACTGGAGCTTTTGTGGTCTTGCTAAGGAAACCATCGAAGCTTGTCAAGGACAATGGCGCTTGACCCAAATTGTAAGATAATATTTTGGCCATGTCCAACTTCCGTACGTTGGCAATGATGAGAAGTCTCTGGAGGAGAATTTCTTCTGCCTTCCCCTTACCTTTTGACCTTGTTTTTTTATTCATGGAACTAAAGGTGTTTGTCTTCTGCTTCCTGATAGTCGCAAGCATACATTGTATCCATATCACCCTACGGCCAATCTGTACAGTAGTCAATTACCTCCACATACCCTATCACCTGGGCATCAGTGTAAGCTCTGGTAACCCCCTCTGAAGCCACAATTCCAGATGCAATGTGAACGAGAAGGTCATTTGTTTCCTCAGAGGGATTAATCATTGCTTCAGTGCTGGTCACAACTGCACGAACACCTTCCTCATCTCTCTTGACTCTGGTTTTTGTCGAGATCGTTTCTCCCTCTCGTCTTCTCTCCCTGACCTGCCGTCTCCTCACATTGCTTTGATATCGCCGTGCGTTCATGTTGAGAAAGAATCCACCTCTGAACCGCACCTTTGTGAGTTGTGACACCGGCCATGCCACCCTTCATCTTTGTGTCTCGGTTACAGGTTTGTTCTATTGCCTGGTGCATGCTACTTCAGAAAACCCATAATTACTGTGGCGCTGCGCAGCAAACTCTCCTTGCATGAAGGCGTCATAAACTGAAGGATGGACTTATGGCATTTGGCACATTTCAAGCCAATATGCGGGTCGTAGGCAAAAAACCATGGCAGGAAACTACAGATGCTGGACAAATGAAGCTCTTCCCTGTCTTGTTCCCCTTATGAAAAGTAGCAGCACTTCTACAATGTACCATCTCAGTGTAAGATGACCACACACCAAAAGTTGAGTCTCTGGATATGAACTCACCACACCAGTTGACCACTGCATTGAACTGGTCAGATTTCACAACCTCTTCAAATGCTGAATTGGGAAATGAAGTCTGAAGCACACCAGAGCCTCATGGGTTGACTCTCTCTCTCTCTCTTCATCGGGAAGTGTGTCAATGAATGACTGCCTCCGTAAATGCTGGAATGCCTCCATGGACCCTCACACTGAGAGTTGTCGGATCTCTTGGTGTCATGGGGCGTTGGATGATGATGCTGTTGATATTATGGGTCATACCCTTGCCTGACATGGTTTCCTCACTGAAATCATCATTGTCTCAGACAAAGGTAGTGAAGATGGGCTGTGTGGCGGCTGGAAGTAAAGCCTTACCCAAGGCAAGTTGGCTACTTAGTGAGGGCAGTGTCATGCTCAAGCACTGTGGAGTTTGACACACAATGACCTAAGCCATTTAACAAACCGATGAGCCGCGCCGATCCGATGAAGTGCCTCACTGCCATGGCTAGGGGCATGACAGTCCTCCCCTTATGTCTTGAGGTAGACGATGTCCTGCGCCAATGCTCGTCATTCTTCATCCTCTGTCACTGCCGCCCTGCTTGTGTCGACAGGTTCGCTGCTGATGCCTGTGGTCTATGCCAAGAAATTGAATAACTAGTGAGGGATTACCTTTCTCGCAATCTCAAGTGTCACATCGGATGAAAGTGAAGGCCAAGGTGAAGCCGAAGGTGATCCATCCATTGGAGCTTTGACGAGCTGAGCAGCTGAGTACAGATGTTGAAGTTCTCCAGGCAGTCTCGGTGGTTTGGGATCTGTGTCGGAACAGCCTCTACTTATGGTCTCACTTTTGCTGGATGATGTCTCATCACCTGCATCTTCAAGGGCATCTTGCATTTCAAGGCTGCCTGCAAGTGCAATGTCGCTTTCAAAAAAGCGAGAAGGCCTCAAAGAAATTTCAGGGTGAGATTTTTTCATCCTACTTTTTAGACTCGCTGTTTTGTATCCTTCAACCTCTATACCTTCAACTTCCTTTGTCGTCTTTATAAATACCTTGTTCAGCTTATCTCCATATGTCTTTGTCTTGAATGAGCTTCTCCTTTAATAACCTGACTTAATTACAAGTGTGGTTGCTGTGCTAGGTCTTTCGATGGATAGTCTCCGAGCAATCTTTGTATCCTTAAGGTAGCAAGTCAAGTGGTACCTGACCTCGATAGCAACCAGATCTCTACCTGCTATGTCGAGTAAAAGCCGCTCGTCTTGCCTAATTTTAGCAGCTTTCATCCTTTTTTCCACCTTGTTTTCTTACACAGTTTACGAGCCTCTCAACCTTTCATTTTTTGTGGCTCGTTCCTTGGTGTAATTTACACTCCTACATGTGATGCATTGAACGGGGAGAGCATGACGTCTTCCAGGTAGAGGTTTTGACTGGTCGCTGGATGTTAACAGAGCGAAGTACATGTCGTTGCTTAGTTCCACTGAACTCTCTACAGGATTAACTGAGGACACCGCCGTGCTTTCTGCAAAATAACACAATAATATTACAAATCAGAGAATCTGCAAAACAGACTGGTTTTCAATGCAGAAATATTGATTTGTGACAAATACTGTAGACTGTATCATATTTTGAATGTATTAGGACATGAACCTACCGCATCACTGCAGACCTGTATGATATCGTTCCTTCCTCATAATAATTTAAAGGAAATTGTTTTTTGGAAGTACATGTACAGCTGTCTAATTTGCAAGGTAAACTCAATTGCTCAATTCACTGCCTTAAAAACATTGTTTCCAAAAGAGGACAAGTAGGTTTTTTGAGTTCGGGGCAGCCACACATCCCTGTCACACACCAGAAGTGGTGGGACATGGGTCTGATAGAGCTCCCTCTGGCGTGACTTGGCACATGGTATTGCAGTACAGTGCCTGGGGATGGAACACTACGTTATTCTGCTCTAAGAAAGGCCTATTAGAAATTTTGTGTTACCTTGTCGTTTCTTTTTCTCTCTTCTCTGCCTTCCTTTTTCTGTCCTCTGCCCGTTTGATTTTTGATGTACACATGATGTTTACATGTACACAAGCATGACAAGCTATACATGTACCCTCCTCCAGGGCATGGCCTTGCCACACATGTACCTTCATCATGTTAGCCTGCAGTTCTCATGCTACCGGTACATGTATGGTTCTGGAAATGGGGTTCATTACCTATAGCCTCCTGTTCCTATAATAAGGAAACAAAGACTATGTTTTTGAAACAACTTACATGTACCTACAAATGTTCTTGGTAATTTCCTCTTTCATATTAGAAAGAAAAGAGAACCGGGCTTTTGTGTTTGAGGGAAAATTTGGGGGAAAACAGCAGCATACATGCGATCTGCATGGCACCTCAAACTATGGGCAAACCCACTCCTCAGTATAGCGCATAGTTGAAGAATTCAAGCCATAAAAATTAGATGAAGTCATATTTCTGTGATATTAAAAGATCATCTCTTTACTTAATCTGTAGATTCAAAACAGTGCATTTGCGAAAAAGTGAACATAATTTGAGAGCCCATATACCTGTGTAGAAGTACAGGCAATATTAGTGTGTTACACACTATACACACTGAATGGACTTCCATCCATCATTTTGCCCACTGTTTGCCCATACTTTTCAAAATCATGGTTATACAGTACAAGACTGGTGGTCTATGCATTTATGTCTGTTTTCTGGGATCACACTGGCAAGCTCATTGTCACAGTCAGGGGTGAGATTTCTCAGCTTTTTACCTGATTTCAGCTTTTTTTGTTTTGGATTTCGGCTTTTTTTCCTCACTGACTGTGTACAAAAGTATAGGAGATTTTCACAGTTCAGCTTCTTTATGCCTTTTTTCAGCTGTTTTTATCTTTGGTCAATCTCATCCCTGCATAGTCATATGGAATGTGCAGATCTTCAGTTCGTTACCATGGATGATTCCAGTTCTCTTTCTTTGATAAACAGCTCAGTCACAAAACGGAGCAGATGGCAGCTACATGAAGGGAGATACATCTGTCCCCAGCTACCGCCATAGCTACGAGCCCACCTCTTCCGAAAACTGGGACATAGGTAAATATCACCTTTGAGGTTCAGTGCATGCGATCCGCTCTGTACCAGAATAAGAGGTCGACGTGCTTTTACTTGAGAACAACTTCCTTTTTGCCCTAAAATACTGCATGTGCAAAGGGGTCCACACACTTCTCACACAGGATGCACCGAGCTCAAGCAACCAGTTTGTACTGCGTGGTCATCTCATGTGTGCTGCGCGCTAACTTGAATTGTTAGACTATAACCTGGAAAAATGGCATGCTGTGACAAATGCAGCTAAAGCAAAGCCAAAGCCAAGCTCTGAACGAGGGATCTTCGGAGGGAGATGCCACGAGAAAATTGAACTAATAGGAACATAGGACATAAGCTTCTAAATTTCACTCTAGAAAAGGGACAAAAGGAGTGTATTAAGGATATGTCAAACCAGACTCGGGAAAAAGAAACCACTGTGTGTGGATTGTGAAACAAATTGTACAACCCAGTAAAAACATCTGTAAATCAAGAACAAAAAAATCACATATAAAACAATCGAAATGAAATGCGAACTGAGTATTATGAACAGCTCTTGTAAGAAAAGCAGGGACGACCTAGTCATTCGTATGTGTATGTTTAGAAACGTGTACCAGTACTAATCCGAATGCAAGAAGGTTATAGTAAATAATTTAGGTAAGATGTGGCTACTCCCCGGGAACCAGGTAGGGACTGTTCCCCAAGGGCTAATTTCCACATACTTTGTCAGTGAACTTGTACAAGTGTTACCACCGTCATGTACTGGTTGTGAGAGGGTGACTTGAGGAAGGCAATTTAAAAGCTGGCAGCAACAGTGTAATGTTCGACACTTTATCCTAACTCGGCTCATGTCTCAAATTAGAATTACCAACCATAACGTTGTGTTTTTACTCACTTACTTTTGTTTGTTTGTTTGTTTTCATAGAAGAGAGTGAACCAAGAAGAGCGTACTGTGAAGCTGAAGAACCAGAAAAGATCCACTCACTAGTGGGGTAAGAAATTCATGGCCAATTTGCATATCCCGGGCCAGTTGGCGTAACATTGACTATTTACAATGGCTAATTTGCATATTTTTGACAACTATTATACATGCACATCGAAAAATGCTGCACACCAAATCATTGGCCCACTTCCCTGTGATTTGCCTACACATATGTTAACTAAATGAGAAACAGCAGGTCAGTGGAGTTAACCCAAAGGGAAGCCAATGCTCAGTAGCATAGCGCCCTCCTCTGATCATGCACAGATAGATCAGTGGAGTAAACATAATGTTGGTCGGCCATTGTTTATTCCGTTTGGAGCGAAGTTGTTCTCGGATTTGCACCAAGACTCAGATACTTTTCCCTTCTTTTTTTGACCTGCAGAATGACAAAGGCCCAGAGGAGGGAATTCAACCGCAAACTCTTGGAAGTACACAAAACCAACAATGCAGAGATGGGGTAAGCTATTCTTCGTGTTACATATTATCTACATGTACTAGATTACTTAGCAGCTTAATCATGGGTTGGAACCTTTTAAGTGTAAAACAAAGAATACACATCCTCGGTACTCATGTGAGGGCTTGACTGTGAATTGTCTCATTTCAGAATTAGCTGAATTAACAGAATTTTAAATTGGTTTAGTCAATATCCAAATTGATTTCCAAGGAATGATGGATTTTCTCCACAGAGAAAGAAATGGGTGTATAATATTCAGTAGATTTGGTTTGGCTGATAAAGAGGCTGCACTTGCAGATTTCACCCATTTGGACAGGTTTTTACCTTGAGAGTTTTGGCTTTGTCAGAAAGTCATGGCTGTGGCTAAAAACACCAAAGCACTTGTGGAAGCCACTGGCTAACAGCTGCAGCTTCTTTCTATATGTGCGTATTATTCCAAGCCACAACCAATGGATTTGGACAGCGTCCCATCAAAATGTGATCTCCAAGGGCAGCCTCCCTTGTGTTGAACATGTCAGGTCCAAGCAAAGAGTAACAGGGAATGTGATTTGTCTGTTTCCAATTTTTGCTGGGGGGGGTCTGTTAATGCCCTATCAGCAACGGTGAGGAACCCACAGAACCAGACTTTTGTGAGGAAGAGGTGAGACGGCCTAAGCAGCTCCCCAAAGCAGTGCCCCGCAGTTCCCTGGACCAGCAGTATCTTCCGCCGCAAAGTGGTAAGAAGTATTACCAAGGATTTTGACCGCTCTGCTAATCATTGTTACTTGCAGCCACAAGGCTGCCTTACGGATGAAGCTAGGCATTTCAAGATGCCTCGGACAGCTGTAAAAAGACTTTTTGACCACAGAGAACCTTAGCCCACTTGTGTTGATTTTTGCGGTGGGAGGAAAACTGGAAAGCCTGTAGAATCCCTCCCCTGACCCCCAGCACAGGGGAGAATCTGACATTTGTCCATGGACCATCAAATGCCCATATGCCTCAGCTTTGTTCTCTTGGTACTCCAAAAGTACTCAACTTCAACATTGGTCCACAGTGTAGAGTGATTACATGCCTGGGCATGTCTGTAATTGGGGCGGCACGTGTTGGCCTCTCAGCTGTGTGGACTGGCTTCGATTCCCGATCTGGGCCATACATGAAGTACAGTCATTAATTACAAAGTAAAATGATGCCTTCAGACTATCACTGTTTAATAAAAATTAATTTTTTAGGACAAAAGTATTCAAAAAGTACTCGGCCGAGTAATTTCTGAGTACTTTTCTCCTTAAAATGTTAATTTTACCAAACTGGGAGTGTCTGAAGTCTTACATTTAGTTTGTTATCTTACCTTTGTGCATTTACCATCAAACGTCTGTGTACTCCAGCTTTATTCCATCTTACCTAGTCCAATATTTTGCTGAGAACCTTGGTACAGTCGACTCTCGGTAATACGAGCTCGGGTAAGACGAGACTCCGGTTAAGACGAGTATATTTGCCGGTCCTGACTGAATTATGCACATTCCTATGAGGAAAAAAAATCCATAATATGAACTCGCGTGTTACGAGATTCCATTTAAGACGAGCATTTTGGGGGCCCCAGCTGCGTGCAAATGTATTGTTATCCGTCCAATTAGCACAAGGGTTTTTGAAGGCAACTTGTCAATCAGTCAATCCATTGAATTTGGAAAGGCTCTTCCGTAATTGATTGTGTACAGCAGTAAAGCGCTGCGGTTTTCACTCACCAAGTGAAGCCCTCTATTGGCCGATCCACACCACCAATTACTGGTTCCCGCCCTTTTTTGTGCAACAAGCACAGCACTGATGTTGGTTACCACCTAAAATGTTAATGTACTTACATGCGTGCGTTATATGACGATCTCATCGCAGCATGCTGGAGACGTAAAACGGCACCACTCCAACAATGCATCCTCCAACTCGACTTGACCGGTTTCTCCGTTCTTGTATTATGTTATTGTTCTTTATTTCAAGTCTTTATTCATAAAAAGTACCTTTACTTCTCACTTTCATAAACATAAACTGTTTTCAAATCAAATTCCAAACCACACGTACGTGCATACAAAGTACATGTAGGCCTACATGTATACGTGTACAGGAAGTTGTACATGATTTACTCTTAACGATGCAGTCGATCTGTTACGCATGCAACAAGCGGGACAGTAGCTTTTTGCGTAAAACAAGGTCCGGATAATACGAGCTAATTTAGAAAGTCCCAAGGCCCTCGTATTAACGAGAGTCGACTGTACACGGAAAGAACTCAACAACAACAACACTGCTTACGACTCGACCTCCAGTAATGGCTAAACCATTGTGTCATTTATTGTCCCCAGCCTTATATCTTGATAAAATGCCTTGATATGCTCTTGATTTGTGGGAAATGTGACATGAATCAAGACTATACATTTGGGTTTTGTAAGTTAAAAATTGGTTGCAATCTCCATGGAGACATAGGGCTTCAAAAGTTGTTTATAAAAATCTCTTAGTGTGGTTTCTACTACTACCAATACCAACTACCAATAGTCTGCCAAACTAGCTCTATGTAATTGAGAGTTTTGGTCAAAGTTGGTCATTGGCATTGTCAACTTACATGTACGTAGAACATAACAGGTGCTTTCTGTTTGCACTGAAAATCTTGGCAACACCAAGCTGGAGTTTCATATGCTTAAAGTCCTCCATTAATGCTGTTGAAATTCCAGGAGCGAAGCTCCCTGTGGAAAGGGGCATTCCACATGGACCCATCGGGGTGGGAAGATCCATGCTTATGTCAGGCCAGAACAGCATGCCCCGACCAGGAACAAGTGAGTGAAGTTTTCTATTCCAATCTATTTTCTGTTTTCTTTTCTATTCTGTTTAGTATAGAATTCAAAGGAATGAGCGAGGATAAAATCATTTGCAGTTTTAGCCGGAATCTTCTGTCCCTTTTCTTTCAGAATTTTGCTGATGAAAGACTGAAATGATTTTGTTTCATAAGGGAAATGAAAAAAAAATTCTTATAAACAAGTGTACGCATCCTCTGTGGAACAAATTTATGAAAGTTGTGTGTTAATGGATCATCTGACATCAAATTGTTAATTTGTTAGTTATTTACATTTTCTCTGTATGGTCAGACATAAATTCTGTGACTGAATTACCCAAATCTCAAATGCTCCGAGTGCAAAATCCATTCGATAGAATGCATTTATGCAGATGGGCCTTCTTGGTTCATGGAAATCTAATGTCACTTGAACTCACAGATGCCGTTGTTTCTCAGCTGCTAAATTTCCGTGTAATGATAGTCAAGTGCAGCAGATGTGCATAGCAACAGGGCCTCAATAGTCTGGTGCTGACATACGTTTTGTGTCTGTAATGTAATAGTTATTAGGATACAACTCCAGACCAGTTCCTTAAAGATTATATGACACAGATTACATATTTACATGGCAGGTTCCAGAGGGACTTATTGGTGTTACCAGAAAATAACAGTTCAGTTCAGTAACTGACCTGAACTGAGCATTTCAGCTTTTAGGACTTGTTTATTTTTCATGTAAAAAAATTAATGTTTTGTCCTGTTATGTCTATACAGTCTTGAAGTGGATGTCATGTTGACTGATGAAATTTTTGTCAGTTACAACAGCATTGTTGAACCAACCCAAAGAAGGCTGAAAAATCCTGAGAATCACCAAATTCTGTGGGAACTTTGCTCAATGCCTGCTCAATGCCATCTCTTGATCAATTAAAGATGTTGAGACGACTTGAGACCTTCACAAGACCACACAAGACCAACACAAGACATTCAGTCTGAATCCAAGGCCATGTCCGAAACGGGCTTCCAGAGCTACGGCTACGTCTATTGTCTGCATGTCTCCACACATTTCCAATGGAGTGAAGACCTAGACCTAGCTCTAGACAACAGATTCAGATGCAGCCCAAGTCACTAGCTACATGTACA